GGATGATATTAAAAAACCACCAACTTGCTCAGCAGTGGCCCTGGCTGATCAGAATGGATACTGGTCCAAATGCTGGAAAAGCATCCTGGAAGCTCCTTGCTGAGCCAGTAGTTACTTCTGTAGTTGTTAGATTGTGGGAATATCAGGGGGGGCCTGGAGGAGCAGGGAGTCCTGGGACATGGCCAGGGTGGTGCTGGGGCACTCAGGGTGCTTGAGGCAGTGGCTATTTTCTATTCAGTTCTATCCACTACAATCATGCAACCATACCTGTGAGTATCTGCTGAAAATCAGCCTTGAATGAGGGCAAATGGTATAACAAGAACATTTACAACTTGCTTTTGCATATGGTATTTCATTTGATCTACCTATCTCTCAGCCTATCTATCTATCTACCCATCTGTCTAACTAGCCATCTATCTGTGTCTCTCTGTCTGTGAAACCAAACTCAGTGTCCCTGGGTGCTGGACACTCAGCTGGGTACCAAGTTGAGGAGCCTGTCCAGAGTTGCAGTTGTCACATGGGCCTTTCATTTATTTTACCACTGATTTAGTGTAAGCACCGTACTAGGCACTAGGGATACAGAGGTAGTAGAACATCATCCCTGTCCTCAAGGGGCTTGCAGTTCACAGAAACCCTCTTTCGAACCTTTTACATAGGTGATAGCGTATGCAAAAAGAAGAGATGTCACAAGATGATTAAAATGGGGAAAGCAGCGTGGGTATGTGTGGGTGGAGCAGCCCATGAAGGACCTTTACCCTGGTGATGATGCCAACCCCTTTAGTCACTAAGGGCAGTGGCCAGAACCTGCGGGTTTGGCCAATGGGGAGCACCAAACCAAGGGAGGGAAAAGTAATTCTGTAAGGACTGGAAGGAAGTCAAACACAACCTCTCAGCCAAGTGTTGGGGCCATGAATTTTTGCTGCAAGGTTTTATGTTTTCTGGAGGTCATTTACAGAATTAAGTAGGAGTCACCCTGGGCAATACTGGTAAGGGCGAAGAACTAGAATTCTCAGAAACTTTCTTTTGGAGCCTGAGACAGAAGAAGGCAGATGAGAGAAATAGCGTGCTGTGGTGGTTCTCAGACTTTTAACCTCAAAACACTGAAGGATAATTCAACACTCTCCATTAGTAACAGCAGCTGACTTGTGCAGACATTCACAACCATTAGGGGTACATGGCAGAATACTGTAGAGAAGTGGGAAATGGGATGTCATTTCATAAAGTTGCCTAGTTGAGTCTATATGTCTATATTTACAACCAGCCTTGAGGCTCAGAAGTATAGGCCTGAGTTGAAGGCAGCTCTGCCACTAACCAGCTACATCATCAGAGGCAGTTCACGCTCTCTCAGCCTTAGTTTCTTCATATATAAAATAATGAATCTTAACTGGCAGCATAATTGAAGGGATTCAAGATAATAAACTAGGGACTTCCCTGGTGGTCCAGTGGCTAAGACTCTGCACTCCCAATGCAGGGGGCCCAGGTTCGATCCCTGGTCAGGGAACTAGATCCCACATGCTGCAACTAAGAGTTCTCATGCCGCAACTAAAGACCCCACATGCCGCAACGAAGATACACGCATGCCGCAACTAAGACCCGGTGCAGCCAAATAAATAAACATTAAAAAGAAAAAGATAATACACTAAAGTTCCTATCACAGTTAGTATATAGCCATAGAGCCAGAGCTTAATGAATGATTAGCTACTAGTATAAGTAATTTGTCTTAAAAGCTGTATTGGGAGATAACAGAGTCTGCTCAGCCAGCCATCATGCAGAAGTGAAAATCCTGGGATTTACAGGAAATACACTCTTAACAGTAAATGCCCTCTGTAATGAGGTATAGCAGCTTAGACTTGAGGGTAAATATTTCATGAAATGTTAATTGCTATAAAAAGAAAGATGGGTGCAGAAATGGGGAGAAGATGCTATTTCAAAGCTAGCAGATTTTTTTTTTAGTTGTTCTAGAAGGAAGATTTTAAATTTGCATTTGAGATTGATTATTTCAGGGTAAAAAGATTAATAATTTTTTTAATCACATAAATGTAAAACCAGTTCCTGATCTGGAACAGGAAGGTTGAGACCATTCATTCCTTTATTCACTCAACAAATATTTATTGAGCACTTGCTACATATATTACACAAGGTGCTGTACATGAAAGGCACTGATTATGCAAAAAGGTTGTCTTTACTGTGAGTAGAATTGCAGCCCTGAACCTGTGTTTCCTTGGGGTCTGGGAAGAGGAGGCATGGTTAATGGACTCTTGTCTGTAGGAAACTTGATCCCTCCCACATGGCAGCAGGAAAGGCACTGAGGGAGAGACACCCTTCCTTTGAGATGAGGGTAGGAGATGTTGCGGAGAGCCCAGTCTGATTTTTTTTTTTTTATGCATTGTCTTTTTCTTTCTCCTTCAGTAAAGTTATATTAAATGTTGCAGTCTGTTCTCTGTTGTGGAGGATTATGAGATGGGCTATGCTTGGGGCTCCAGGTGGTTGACTGAAATAAGCATTCTTTGGGAATTCCCAGAAATGTTGGGGGAGAAGTCAGGGACTGGCTTTCTTGCAGTCACGTGAGAGGTGAAGCTCAGGTATTTGGGCATTAATGAGAGGTGTGATTCTTTGAAGGCAGGACACCACTGCTATACATTTGTCCTTGTGGGCAGCTTGAATGATCCTCACAAAGCGACTGGGCACACTCCCATGACAGCAAGCCACTGGGCACAGTTTCCAAGAACATCAAGCCAGAGCAACTCACTCTCCACTAACTCACATAACATGAAACATGCAAGTTACTTCACATGCTGGGGTACAAATGTCCTGAGCATGTGGACTAGAGATTGCTCATCCAAGGCTATTTCCTTTTATTCCTCTCTTATTCTTTCTTACCTACCATCCGTGCTTCTCCCAAGCTCCCTCTTGGGCCCTGTTGCCCAAGTGAAAGCAAAGAAGCAATTAACACTTATGGAAATCTGCTATGCTAAACATTGCATGTGCTGTTCTGCATAAACTGTGTCATTTAACCCCTTACAACAATTTGGCAAGATAGGTAAGATTATCCCTTTTTTCTGATGAGAAATGGAAGCTGAGAGTCCTATGTCCAAAGTAACACAACCAACAAGTAGGTAACAGTTCTGGGGTCCAAGTACAGGTTTATGTAACTACAAAGTTCTTTACACCAACCACAAAGGAAAATGTATTTTGGGGGCGAAACATAATTAAAAAGAAAAATGTATTGGGAGAAATGCTTTCCGCTTCCAAGCAAACGTAAGTAATTGCCCATCAGTGGACACTGACCTCCAGTTGTAACTGAAACCTGAGATGCAGAAGGCCCAGGTTCAGACTCTTCCTCTCCACTTAGAAAACTGTCACAGAGGAAAAAGAAGTGGTGAAAGGCAGTTTCAGACAGATCATGACAAAGTCGACTAAGTTTTCTTGGGTGATAGGAGTAAAGAGGCCATATCTATCTGTCCTGGGGAATCAAACAGTTGCCTAGAACGTTAATACAAACCTGTTGTTTAAAACACAAGTTGTTTTATACATCTGACCCCAAAATTTAAGCTTAAAAAAATATCCCTCATTCATGCAAAATCATGTTGACATATAAAGACACATCTGTGGTCTACAGTTTGATCATTCATAGCCCTCTTATAAAGCACTGACCACACAAGCCTTCACAGACCAGTAACAGTTGGTGGGTGGGCACAGATGCACGGATCACACTTTGACAGCACTGATACTTTCACTTTCAGCTACAACAGCCTTACCATGGGTTACTTCTAAGAAAAACCTAACCATTTGAACCTCAACACGGTCTCCGTGTATCAAATAATTGCAAATTACTTCTTTCTTCTTTCTCTTTTTGCCTTTTTTTTTTTAACTCAAGCAACCCATGGGGCTGCTTAAAGCAGTCTTAAGTTCCTGTAGACTTTCTGAAGGAAATGAGAGGCATTAGGAGGTCTAGATTATATTTTCTTGCCGGTGATTGCTGTATAACTCTGAGTAAGACTGTTATCTTTATCATCTCAGAGATTAAAGTTGCCTCTGGCAGCACAAGGGTAGAATCTCGATGTTTGCATGTTTCTTCCCCTGTTTTTCTCCTCTTCTGATCCTGCACCCACACATAGAGAAAACACATAAGCAAAGCCACTTACTCAGGGAAAGCATCTAAACTGGTCTTCTTACAGTCTTATTGTGGAATCTGTTGTAAAAACCAAACCAGACACCACCATACCACCCCCTTTACCTTTCCTTTGTCATCCCTGTTTTGTGGGAACATGGTTTTCTATCACAGAATGATGACACTATTACCTTATGGGGTTTCTATGATGAATTCCCAGAAAGAGTTTGGGGAAGAAGTGTTATTTCTCTTTTGCTTCCCCTACCCCAAAGGTCCCTTCTGTGCACCTCAAACTCTTCAACGTACCCTTCTTTTGAGGGGAAATCAGTCAGTGGCTCATAGGGATATACCCCAGCTCTGACCTCAGTGGCTTACCAAAACCAGAGCCAGTCCCTCACTCAGTCGAGTCCAATAATGATCTTCCACAGATGCTGAAGCCCCACTTGAACCTGGATTTTTTTCCCCCCTTAGGGTTCCTCTTGGAGAAAAAGAATCAGGAAAGCCACAGGCAGAGGGTTGAGCAGAGAACAGAAACCCCAGAGCCTTCCAGCTTCAACTGTTCCTACTGTCCTGATGAACCACCTGGGGCCGGAGAGGAAGAAGATCTAGCACAGGGAAGAGAGTGGCTTTTAGAGGATTGGGGAAGGGGTCTCTTGGGATCTTTCAAGAGATCTGAAAGTGTGTAGAAAGCCCTGCAGTTACCAGGAAAATACAGATATCAGTGCCTGACAAACAATAGGTGCTCAATATATACACTAAGTAATTGAATGGTTGAATGAATAAATAGGCGAAAGGGAAGAAGCAGAAGAGGTAAAGCAGTGCTTCATAGATGACTTTCACCTGCCTTTCTTCCTGGGCTCTTTTTTACAGTTGTTTTTGTTTTTCCCAGTTGCTCCAGGATGATGCTCAGGCACCACCTCCAGGCTGAAAGCTTCTCCAACATTTCACCTTTCCAACCTTAGTGACTGCTAGACCATGAGTTCCGCACCTCCCAAGCAGAGGCTTAAGATAAGCACACCTGGATAGTAAGGAATAAGAGAGGAAAGGGAAGGGCAAGCAGAGGAATCTGCCTTCTCTTCCTTCTGTTTTAATTTGCTGGTGGTTATGAGGTTAACTTCCTTGGGCCTCTGTTCTCCTTAACTCTGAATTATAGGTACTGTCACTGAGACACCCTGAAGGTAGATCTATTGATGACAGATTTGTGAAAACAAGGAAAACACCATGTTTGGTAATATCTAGAGAATATGCCTTCAAAGCAAACCCTTAGTTCTCATCAGCTCTCACCTAAACCACTGTTATTCAGACTTTAATGTGCACATGAACCACCTTATTAAACATTAAGCTTATTACAATGCAGGTTCAGATTCAGTAGGTCTTGGTGGGGCCCAAGATTCTGCACTTCTAAAAGTTGCCTGGTAATGCCAAAGCTGCCCTGCAGACGAGTCTAGAACTTTGAGTAACAAGGACCTAGACAATTGCTACAGTATGATGCAGCTTCAGTTCCTGCCAAATCTCTCCCACACTCATCACCCCACTTGGCACTGTGCCATCATCAATGACTTGCAGAGCCTCAGGCGCACCATGCTCTTCAAACCTGCATGGCTTTGTACATCTTCCCTCTGCCCTTCACCCCCCTTCACTGGATGAGCTTCTCCGTGTCTCAGCTCGCATGTAAGCTCTTCTATGAAAATTCTCCCAGCTCCCCATCCTACCAGATCGCCACGCCCTCTCTCCTCTGTGCTCATCGCACTGTACTATAACATGCTTTCTCCACGTCCAGGGCTATTGCATAGGGTTGCTCAGGTTGAGTCCAAGGACAAGGGCCCCTGGTCAAGGTGGCAAGAGGGGCTTGAAATCCATCCTGTTCTCCACTTGCCCATTGGTGGAGCCCTGGTGCAGAGCTGCCTCCACCAAGAGGGAGGGATGACCTCTTCTAATTCACACATGGCACCATATGGGCTGATTTTCTGTCTTTTCTACCAGATGTGGGGTCCTTGAGGAAGGAATCAAGTCTCATTCATCTTTATGTTTTTATCTGCTAGCATAGTGCCTGTCACTATTCAGTGTTCAATGAAATGTTTGTTGAATGGATAAATCATGAGAAAAAGAAATGAGCCACTGAAAGCAACGCACAGACAATAATTTCATTCAATTCTAAAGGTAAATTAACTGAATTGTAAGCAAGAGGTCTAGGATTTGCTAATGTGCTGCTTAAAAGGCAAGGTCTTCAAAACCCCATTTTACTAAAAGGATTATAATAGGTATTAGTGAAAAGATGTAAAGGCTACAGTCAGCACCTTTAGAAGACTCATCAGTACCAGCAAAGACATAGGCTGCCCAGAATCAATACTAAATTGTCATGTCCTTTTAGATCTAGGGGAAGACGAGGGAGATTCTGAGCATATTATTTGGTCATAAGATTTAGAGGCTACTAAAATCAGCAAAAAAGTCCTGAGAACAAGAAGAGGTGATGACAAAACCATGTATTTACATAGAAGGGCTGAAGTCAGAAACAAAAGAGAGAATGTGTTGGATTGTGAAAATGAGGATCCCACAACTGCTAAGGGCCTGGGCTTTGTTGAGAAAGGCACAGCCCAGATGAATAAGCGTCTTGATACAAATCTCTAAAATGGGTTCGTTTGATCTTCTTTGCATGAGTTCCTCAGGTGTTTCCCAAGACAGTCTCTCTGACAAGACTGTAAGCTCCCAGAAGTTGGGACCAACGCTTAGACACCTTTTATCTTCCTGAGAGTGTGTGATACTCCGTGAAATGAAGTAGGTGCTGAATTTGCAGGGAGTTTACAGCTGTCACTGACGATAAAATAAGCAAGCACAAAGTGCTAATCATCCTCAGCCGAAATATCCAGAATTCCACCTCAGCACTGAGAAAGAGATCCTTTGAGAAACGTCCTCATACGTTGCAAAAACCCAACCTGGGCTTTGCCTTCTTACATCATCTTATTCTCATTAAGGCCAATTTCCGAAGTTACAGCTGTGGTTCTGCAGTAAGGGGAACTGAGAATCTTGAATACTGTATGCTACCACATGACTTCAGGATAAAATGTTATTCAAAACAAAACCTAATTTAAACACACACACGCACGAAGTAGGCTAAGATCACCAGACTTCCATTTACCTCTTAACAAAATTTAATCCCAGATCTCCGGCAAACAATTGGGAGGCATTTGAGAGCATTTGGGGCCTTATCATTTCATCTAAGGGACCAACATTTGTGATCAGGGTGATAAGGAGTCATTACCAAAAAGAAGAGAAATGAGGTCTTTCTGACACATCACCATCATGAGACTTACCACTGATAACTGCCCAGGACCCATGGACTACGCTGGAGTCAAGAATTGGGTAATTGCAAAGATTCCTCTTTTTAGAGCAATAAAAAGTGCTGACTTCATGCCCTTATTCCCTGGGTCATTTCTAGAAGAAAGGCAAGCTAGTTAATTTATTTTTTTCATAAGAAAATAGGCCAAATAGCAAATACTCATTTTTAAAAGGCTTTTAATTCTTAAAAAATGCATTCTCATTTTAGAAAAAATTTTAAAGCATAAGAAAAGTCACCCCCGCCCCCAAAAAAGCATCCCTCCAATTGCCACCAACTAGCACAACCTTACCAAAAGCTTACTGTAGCTTTTCAAGCCATAGAGAAAATCAACACATGAAAACTGTGTTCATACATTCACTAAATGAACCAAATGCAGGCTATGTTCCTACACTCTGAGGATCCGTGGAATTGTGCAAGTAAAATAATCTGGAAATCTTAATGTCAAATTCAAAAATTAAGAAAATATGTGAATATTGATCACTTCTTTCAATGGATGCGAGTGCAGATTTCCTGATCTGTCACATGGCTTTTATTTTTTAACCAAACAGGAAAGGTTTTGACATCCTTGTTTGCTGTTTCTGCATCTCGGAGAAAAGCTGAAAGCACCTTCTCAGATACTGGCTGGCACACACAAAAAAAACATTCAGGAAAGTTAGAGAAATTCCAGAATGTTATTTATCAAGCAGTTCAGATGTATCCTTCTGAAAAAGATTAACTCTGGAAATTTTATTACTTAGAATGTCACTTATAAGATATTACAAGACATTTCTTCTGTGTCCATAACATTTTTTACTTCTTTTTCTTTAACTAGAGTATAATTGCTTTACAATGTTGTGTTAGTTTCTGCTGTACAACGAAGTGAATCAGCTATATGTATACATATATCCCCTCCTCTTGGACCTCCCTCCCACACCCCCGATCCCACCCATCCAGGCCATCACAGAGCACCGAGCTGAGATTCCTGTGCTATACCACAGGTTCCCACTAGCTATTTTACACGTGGTAGTGTACATTTTTACTTCTTATATAGCTCTTTTTTCTTAGCTCCTTTACCCAGTTCTCAGAAGAAATCTGAAGTGATCTGACTCCTTTGGATACCACATAGTAGGCTGCTAAATTTCTTACTCAGTGATATGGAATTGCTTTCAAGCTGAGTCCTGAAGCTGTAAGCTTCACACTTTGATTTAAGCACCAAAGATGTTTGGGTCATTATGTGTGGCTTGGCATATAAAATAACTGCAACAATAACAGTCACAAAGATCTTACCATGTGTCAGGAAATATTCTTTGTGTTTTACAACGACTACTAACTCATTTAAGCTTCATAATAAAATCCTCACATTCATCCTTTGAGCTAGATACTATTATTATTCCCATTTTACATGTGAGGAACAGAAAGCGATTTGCCCAGAGTCAAAGAGCTGTTAGGTGGCAAAGCCGTGATGGGAACCTGGCCGTCTGTCTCAGAGTCCACACCTCTAATCCCTATACTTGATTGTCTCAACTAGCAGTCTACTCCCCCCAGTTGAAAAATTACATTGACTCCTTCTAGCCACCCTCCTCCAACATTATACCCACTTGAGTAACGGAACGCCAAGTTCAATAAAGCTGCATTCTCTAACAACCCCCTTTCCCAAGGTCCACGGGAGGAGCTGGCTATTTGCCCGTGAAGCCTGTTCACTCCCGATCTGAAGAGGCTTAATGGAGACTAACTCTGTCTGTGCTACTGGAGGGGAGGAAGGTGAGTTTTCTTGTTCATTTAGCATGAAAAGTCTCTTAAATTGAGGCGTTTCCTTCCCCTTCCATCTGCTGCTGCCAACTACAGGTGAGAAGGTCTCCTGGGTATCAGTTTCACATGACCTGCCTCAAATAAAGACAGGTCATCTGCTCCCAAAAAAGGCAGCAACTTCTCACCTCAGCTTTACTGCTAACTGCAGGTTTCATCTACAGGAAGAGTTTAAGGGAAATGAGCAGGAATTATAAAAACGTTGCTAGTTGGTGACGCAGATAAACCTCATCAGCTTTCATTTTCTCAGCTGGGAGTGCAACCAACATGATTAAAGCCAAGAAAGAAACCCTCAAGTTATCGTATTAACAATTCCGTTCTTTAGATGAGACAACATAAAACCTTGGGAGGGTAGAACTAAAGTTCAACATCATTCCCCACATTTTACAGATAAGGGAACTGAGACCCATAGGGGACTCCTGGCGTACTCATGATAACACAACTAATTTGTGATTTAAAAATATGTTACCTTTTTGGATTATTTTCTTTAAAAAAAAAAGAATAGAAATTAATCAGCCTCTCTGGCCTTCTAGAAATGGCTCATAGCATAAGGCTCATGACACGAAGTCAGAATTTTATTGCCTTACACAGAGGAAATTGCAATTACTACCCCCAATCCCCAAAATGGGTCATTCTAGGCCCTAGGGCTTACATATTGGCGTGAAAATGGAGAAGCGTCTGGTCTTTGGTCTCTTAGCTACTGTGCCTCTCACTATCCATTGCTGGCTGGTCCTTTAGCATCTGTTGGGTCTCTTGCCCTTGGCAGGATACAGAGATGCTCCCACAGTGTTTCTCTATTTTGATCACAGGTCTGCTGTAAGGGATTCTTGCCACTGCTCTTGGGGCCGAAGTGCTCAGGGCAGGCTACCACAGGCATCCATCCAAGCTTCCCCCACCAGAGGTCTCATCCTCTATGGAGTAATGTGCAAAATTGCAATCAGATCCCCAGCTCTTTATAGAGCCTACTGCAAATCTCTTCCTCGAATTTCCTTATCCATGCCAGTCTCATGCATTCTCCCTTCTCCTAAGGGTCAAGCCACTTCCTTTCCCCTCCTCCTGCAAAACTCCAGTTCTTACCGTCCCAGAGGCTTTCTAAAGCAAGGGTTATAATGCATCCCTGAGACTCGGAAGCCCTGACCTCCTAGAATGGAAAGCAAGATCCCTGTCATCGTGAACAAATTATTTGTGTATGTTTAATGTCTGACTCTCTCTCCAGACTATAAATTTCATGAATTAAGGATTAGGATTAGGTTAAAGTTAGAGGGAGATTTAGGATCCTTCTGTCTTGTTCACGTATGCATCCCCTCTGCCAGCTCAAGGTCATTCAATACATATTTTCAGAGGGAAGAAAGGGAGGGACCAAGGAAGGGGGGGAGAGAAGGGAAGGAGAGAGGGAGAAGGTTGATTACAGCGGCCCACTGAAATAACAAGAGCCTGATTTAAGGTAGTCTCAGAGAACATAGAGAGGAAGGGGTGGGAATGAAGTTGAAAACTATTAAGAAGAAATAATTTACAGGGTTTGATAACAAATTTGCCATGAAATATGTGAAATACAGCAGTCATAGATGATTCTGAGATTTTTTAAATTGACTCACCTAAATGTGCTGTGAGACTGTGAAAGACCAGGTTGGTTTTGTTGGTAAGAGTGGAGGTTGGTGGAGGGCTCGTGAACAGTGAGTCTAGTTTGGAAACTGTAAGGTGTCTGGGGAGGATGTCCAGTAGGCAGATAAACATGTGTGGGTCTCACTGTTTTAAGTACCTGTGAACAGGAAAACCAAAATCAACTTGTGAGGTGGGCAAAGTTATCTTTAGAAAGTCCCTTCTCTTTTAAGACCCATTTCAGGCCCCAAGTTCCCTATTTTTTGCCTATCTTTCTTCATCTATGTCTGCTTTTAAGAAGTGATCTGATAATCTCAGATAATCTCAGTTTAGAAGATAAACTATTGATGAGACACAATGAGTTAGCCCTCTCACCTTGTACTGGGAGCATTGCCTCAAACCAAAGGAATGATAATAACACCACTAGTAAGAGCCAGTGCTTATGTGGCTCTTAGTATATGCCAGGCACTGTACCAAGCACTTCATGCTCTCAGCAACACCATGAGGTAGGAATCATTTTAGAGATGAGAAACCGAGACACCGAGAGGCTAAGTGACTTGTCCAAGGTCGCACAGCCTACTAGTAAGGAAGCAGGAAACATACCCTGGTGCTGTGGCTCTGGAGTCCATTCTTGTATAAGGGTGGAAATTTATAAGAGTGGAAATGTGCATTAAATTTTGTGGGGGGGACCCTAGCAAGATTCAGAGCCCGTTGTGCAGGTCACTGCAGTTTCACCCTATAAACTGATGACCATGATGACACGGGCTCTGCCAAGAATTAACCTTAGACAATGTACTTAATCTCTTTCAGTTTCATTTTCCTCATGGACAAAATAAGGAGAAATGACCCATGTAAAATGTTATTCCTTATAGCAGCATTTGTAATAGCAGATAACTGGAAACAACCTAAATGTCTATTGAGAGGAGACTGGCTATAAAAAGGATTGTACGGCTATAAAATGGAATATAATGCAGCCATAAAAGAGTGAGGTAGAGCTCTATATGCTGTTTAGAGTGATTTCTAGGATATATTGTTATAGAACTGGGTATAGAGTATGCTACAGTTTGAGTAAATAAGAATGATAGGAATATATATACATTCTTTTAAGCTTGTATGTGCATACATACAGGAACCCTATAGAACTGGTTGCTTCAGGAGAACTGGGCAGATGGGGAACAGAGATGTGAGGAGGAAGCCTGTACCAGTTAGGGTACCAGCAGGAGTACACGGCACACTCAAAAGCGTAATTAAAGGGAGTTTAATGAAAGAATGATTTGCAACAGTGTGGACAGGGATAAGCACCCAACAAAGGATTGTGATGTGTCCACCGTTGGGCTACAGAGCGGAGTCTGGGCCCGCATTACCATGCCTGGGCCCTATGGGACAAGGGGAATAAGTGGTTTCCTGAACCCAGAGAGAGAACTGTAGGTGTAGAAGGAGCCACTGGACAGCAGACACAGCCTTCCCCAGATGAACCCACAGCCCAGCAGGGAAGGAGCTGGGGTTTAAATAAAGACCCTGACCCCATTCTTCTCCTGCCTTCCGATCTCTTGCCAGTACTGCCCCAGGGAAAACCCTACCAGAAGCCTGAGGGCAGAGGACACTGTAAGTGTAGCCTTAGAGAAGAGTCTCTTGGGGCCCAAGGCAGATGGCAGTGGATCTGGAGGGCAGAGACTATCCACCACAGAAACTGCATGCATAGCCTTTATCTTGTACATTTAGAACTATGTGAATATATAATTTATTTGAAAAGTAATAAATTTTGCACACACAAAAAATAAATTAAAAATTAAACGTAAGATGAGGGACTAGAGCAGATGGTTGCAAAGTCTCTCCCCCTCTCCAAATTCTACCTATTTCTTTGACGTGTGACTTTTTCATCTAATCACAATCCATGGCTCCACCTAGTGTCAAAGCAATGCTTCACCGAGTTCAGAGCACAGACTCATTCAGGAGGAATTCCGGGGCAGACATGCTCTCTGCTCCAAATCACTGGTGTGTGTAAGCAGTTTTCATTGGGAATTATACCCACGTGGCGAATGATCTTATCTCCTAAAAGTAGAAAATAATTATTTTGAAACACAGAACATTTGTTGTTTTTTCTTTTAAAGAGATAGTGAACCTTGAGTTAAATTCAATTTTGAACTAAATAGTTAAGATTTTTCCCCCCATATTTCAAACTGTTAAATACACTTAGAGGTAAACAGCATGTGATCTAAGATAGTAAATCTTCCATAGCCCACTTTTGAGCTTGTCATTCCTCTGTTCATATGTCCTTAACACAGCAATTCTCAACCCTGGCTATAGAAAATATCCTTTGGGGAGTTTTAGGAATTTCCTACTGGAGACTCCAATTTAATTGGCCTGAGGTGGCACTCAGGCATTAATTCTTTTTTTTTTTCAAGATCACCAGTGTGTGTCATGGGCCGCCAGGGCTGGGAGTCCCTGATTTAATGATTCAATACTGCCTGTGAG